CTCGTGTGATCACGTCGGGCATTCTAAGTTTTGTACCTTCCTTCTAGCTAGTTACTTAATCAGTTAGGTGTGGCAAAACATAGCTTACGTAATTATTTGTCATACATATTTCCAAGTATATTGTACTCACACTTACGCGCGTTACGTTAGTATATACGGTTTCAAAAACACGTTTGTAAAATTTATTATCAAAACAATACTAAATGAGGAGTGATATGCTTTCAGTTACAATAGTATTAAAACGTTAAATGTCTGTCACCTGTCAGTGTAAAATGGGCATACAGGGATTTTATGTGGCATGACGTCCAAGGTGGCAATTGGTTCACCTGATGTTAAGTGATTTTCGCCGCCGTTACAGATACAGATATCTATGATACTCCTGGTTACAGATGCGTTAAAAACTCTGAATATTTTAGGTTAATAAAAAAGTATTACTTTTATATTGGTTTGAGTGAAAGCCTTAAGAAGTGTGGACCCCGATTATCTTACTCGTCAGATGAAACGCAAAAGTATAACGTTAACGGAGGAAAAGGGTTCGATAACTATTAAAATCTAAGAAAAAGATCAACTGAATGATTAATTAGTGAGCCCTACCATTTTATTCGGGCGTAGAAAAAATTTACCTTAAAACCGCCGTATAATTGAAAAATGAAAAATATAATTTTGAATGTATAATTAAATACTTTTGCATTTATATTTGTTGTTGTAAAATATTATGATGATATTATGATAAATATGTATGTTAATAAAGACGAAATTAGGGTAGCGATTGTCCTTGTGTATGTTTGGAAAACAGAGATCTCTGTTGGCCGATGCCGCGTGATGTCAACTGCAGTATGACAACAGGATGATGTCACCAGAACATTTCACAGTGCCGCGAGTGAGCACATAAGCCCATGAATACGGAACGTCTCGACCCTAATACGAATAACTGTTTAAGGTCATTTGCTTTTAGAGGTACACTTATTAAGCGTGACAAATTCCTGGACCTTAGTTTAAGGCTATTGCTCAATGTCTTAAAACTTTTTGAATAAAAAAAACGCTATCGTGTTTTCAAACTAAATACCAGAGATAGCGCGTGGTATATGAATATGTCTTGATTGTCTCACCTTTAGCCGGAAGCTGACTGTTGAATAAAGGCCTCCCCCTTAGAACGCCACAGGAACAACACTTTCCCATTTGCATCTACCGGTTGCCGGCGATCCTTACGTTCGTTGTTCCACCCTTTTATTTTTGTGGGGAAACCTTGCCTTGCGTTATGGAATTCTTGCCTCCAACAATTGAGGAAGCAAGATTATGTCGGACTTGCATCGACTAAAACCCCACGGTGGTCGCCATCAGCTGTAATTACGGGATCTCCTTTTGGAACATTACCGCAGCGCCCCTTGGATTGGTTGAATAGCCTATGGAGAGCTATGTCAGGGACTCTGGATTTTTAACGTGAAAAAATGGACAGCGATTCACCTGATGTTGAGTAATAACCTTCGCCCACGGACATTTGCAGTACTCGTAGGGTTGCAGTTGCGTTGGCACCTTATACTAAAGCGGACCCCGGCTGAAGAGTCATCTATTCAAGTCCGAGTCTTTGAGGGGCCTCTGCGTCGAATTTGGACCTGCCTAATTAGATCTAAGTTAGATATAATGGATATGTCTAAGATAGATATAGTGGTCAACAAATTCGAGAGTATCATTCCCAACTACAATGGGTACGGGTGCGACATGGAAATTCAGAATTCTTTAAAAAGACTCACCAGTTGAGGAACGTTATAGAGGAAAGCTTTAATGTTATGTCAATCTGAAAACATTACCTATGCAGGTAATAAACCAAGTTATACCCAACCAAGGAATATTTTAAACACAAGTGGCATTAGAATGAGCGATTTTAGAGAGTTTATGTTGTCAGCCACATGGCTACTATATTTGTCTATTACTAAATAAGAGGAAGGATAAACGGTCGCCATCATTTTAAAGTAATAAACCCTTAATGAATTTTTTTCTTAATTGAATTCATATTTTGAATGAATTGGTAAATTTCTCTATCCTTTTTCGCTTCAAAATAGGACTCTCAAAATTATAATGACGAAAATAAGGTAGTTACAATATTTATTAAAGATAAGTTTCCAGAAGTGGCAACTTATCACCTTAATCCCGGGTACATATCTAAAATTTGTGTCTGCCCAGAGTGTTATTATTAAATAAGCAACATTTATTACTTACTACATACTTGATAAGGCGTTAATGGGTCACACGAACTAGTCGAATATTATTCATGGGAACTGGTCGTACAAGATCATTTATTGTGACGCAAACGCCTAACGTCCATTACAATCTTAATGTCGAGTTAAATTTGTGGGACCGCAAGGTTTTTTCCCGACGATTAACTAATTCGACTTTAATGTTTAAACGTCGCGATAATTGAGGTCGTGTCTACGTCCCCTAATCGATTGAAGGACGGACCGGCATTCCAGTACAAGGCACTAATGCATGTTGGAATGAGACCACTTAACATCGCCAAATTGGTAAAAATGTTGCGGTAACACAATACGGTTTTGACCTGTTTCTAGGTTGTCCTTAGTACCGACACCTTACTACTAGGTTGTCCTACACGCGACTTACGCCGGAAAACGAAAAATGAAAAACATTTCATGAATTCGCCCAGGTCGCTAAAATGCATACACTTTGAACCAAACCAGTCAAATTTTGTTTCGGAGAAGTTCAATGCTAGGGTATAGATCAAGCCAAGGTCATCACAGTAAAGAGATGTCTCGGAGTAGTAGGTATAAGGAGGAAACGATAGTCTTTCGTTTTAATTTTAAGTAGTAAATTAATAGCCTCTGTTGCTAAATGAATTAGGACTGTGGAAGCACCACGCCCTTATACAAATCCAAAGAGAAGAAATAGTACCACAGTTGTGAGCGAGCCCATACATTTGGGAAACCATCTGCGATCCTTTCCAAAAGGCAGTGCTTTTACCCAAAACTTGGTATATCAACGTTGTAGAGAGGTCAAATATCGATCGATTGAACTGGATCGATATATTGAATATTATTCTGTTCTTAAACTTTACTCTGCTATACTATCTGTTCCAATTACCATATTAAAAGAAATTTATTACAGAAGAACAAAATTCCATGTGTAAACATACACAATTTGCATAATATAGGTACTTACATTTAAACAAATCGCGTGGTATGCGCATTTATAGAAACTTTGTTTCCTAGTTAAAACGCCATTGTTTAAAGATGTTAAGTAGTGTCGTAACACAATATCAAAACAATCTAGTTATATAAAATTATATAATATATACATATACATATTTATATATGTGTATTTACGGAATAAATGCCAAAATGTAAGTGATAACAACCATTTATACATTATCATAGAAGACTGATATTTTATAATTTTTTCCCTCGAAAACTTTAACAACGCCCACGGGGCGAAAAATTCTATGCGCATATTCTGACGTTTTAATCTGCTTCTTTCAAAGAAACAATTGTCTTTCACAAATTTAAACCGCAGTGTTATGACCTTTTCGCATAGCATGTTGCTATGTATTAGGCTCCAGCACTTTTAGTTTCCCACATTAAGTACCTCTTGCACAACGTAGCATCTCCGTGTGAAAATAACGAACAAAGAGCACAGAGACTACGTTCAAAGAAGCAGCTCATTGAAGAAGTTCTAACATATCACCATTTTACTAAGACCCACCTCAACCCTCGCCGAAAACGTTGGCGTGGATCCCAAAGGGGTGGGTTAACGTAAATCGCGGATCAGGCTGAAGTGGTCGGGACCGTGCGACATACTGCATCCATTGAGGCTCCTTCACACGGTCGAGGACGACAAAAAACAAGACAAAAACCGTTACGCTCCCGAAAAAAGTTCTCATAACTCGTGAATCGACAATACGTCTCATTGACAAACGATTATAAAGCGAGCTGCGGTGTGCTCTTTAGCGTTGGAGGCGATTAAAATTATACCATCCAGTTTGATCTACCATCTATAGTACAATAACATCAAAACGTTTATCATGAAATCAAAGAAGATATGCTATTACTAACATAGTATTAGGTTTACTTAGTTAGTTTGTCACACAATTCTCTAAAGTTATATTTATATACAAATTTAGTTGTTATTCAATTATTTACCCACTTCAATAATGTCAAAACTTTATCATGGGTACTGATAAAGTTTTGACATTGGCTAAAAAAGTAAAGCCTTTATACATAATCAGCACCCAGACATTTGCCCAGCTGTAATAGCTACCATAGCTCACGAGAAGATTGTATGTACTTGTAGCTATAATTAAAAAAGAAACAAAACAGTTATTATAATACTTACATGAATTCTAAATAATATATGGTTATTATAACTTACGAATATACACGTATATTCTTGTAGGTATTTTAGTTGAATGAATACCGTCAGGACACATGTTTAACTTTTGGTCCCATACTAAACTTATAAACAACGCCAACAAAACTATTTTTCCTCATTTAGAACATTTTTTTTTCAATGTTGGTCTGTGCCGCCAAAAAAAATCCTTAACACAAGACTTGCAAGTTAATAAACGCGGGACACATGGGTCCCAAATGTGCGTGGGAGCGACGGCGGCCTATTCCATGAATGGATCCTTCACTTATGGCTTATAGACATGAGACCCTGTTCTATAAGCTTTCTCACGATTCAACGGATAAGATAAAAACTAACAAAAACGAAATCCCCCACTTGACAGAATTTTTCATCGGCAAATGTATACAATAAATACTTCATATAACCCGATCACAACTTGGACAACTGCGTTAATGCGAAGATAGAGGTATAAGCTAACCTCTATGTTTATTTCAATTTGCGTTGCGGCGAAAGAACAGTAAGGGCAACCTTGGATGCCGCGCCAGGAATGTCTGAGAACCCGCAGCGCTTGTGGGTGCATTAAGCTATCATGCCATCAGCGCCCGTCTAGGCGGCATTCTTAGGCCGGTCCGGTGTCCGGCTCAGGAATGTCCGCAGCCAGCAACCCGAGACGGAAGAAGCGGCGGCGGAAGCGGTTCATGGAACCGGCAACCTCCGCTCCAAAACGTCGTCACCGCATCGGCCGCGCGACCGATAATAAGCTTTATACAAACGCAGTAGACGCCAGTTTCGATCGGAGTACTCGTCGAACTTACTCGAATTCAATGCTCGTGAAATTTTATCTGAAGGGAAATTGTAAATGTAATAAGTGCTCAAAAGTTTTGTAAGAAATTTAAACCGTATGTAGTGTATTTAAGGTAAGAAATGGAATGTATCACAGAGTGATATACAACTAAAGTATTCGCGAAATTTCCGTGCCATGGCGCGCAACCGTCTCGCTCCACTGTGCCGTGCATCCTGCCTTATACAACGTGTAATTTTCCAAGTATTTCGCTCTATCAGTATGGAAGTTTAAAAATTTTTGACATCGATAGAACTCTAATATATTGTGTTGTATCAGACGCCATTTGTTAATTCTGAAAACGATTTTTTTTAATTACATATTCTGCATAGCGAACTAAAAAAAAGCTACGCCTAAAACATATTTCACTTACGCAATAGCGTTATTTGCTGACGTTCTGGAGGCATTAAACAATTACACTTCGCATTTCTCCGAACGCGTAAAGCTTTTAACGTTTATTTATAGTAAACATTTTTCCCTTTTCATTACAAATCTCAAGTGGACCTCCCGCGGTGGGAGCACTTTGTACTTTTTCACGGTATTTCGTGTTTGTAAGTTGTAATGGCGTCACAAATCGCTCCAGCCCTCCGGTAGACTGTTGATTAAACAATCAAGCGGTGCCCGCATGCCATGGCCGCTCGCAATTGTAAACTGCTATTGGAAATCAATTGACACAGGACAAATTGTCGTAACGAGCTCCATGAACGACACTTATAAGCGTATGCACAATTTGTGGTTTATTCGAAGTGCACGCCGAATAATTTGATGTCATTTTTCCGTGGCTCCGTAAGATAAGTCACGTTTACAAAGATTAAAATGTCTTCCTGCTCATCACGTAGTAAGATCGTGTCTTTTTGCTGCAAATACGTCCGTTACTAAACGAATATTCGAGCCTTCGTCTTATTTTTAACCACTAAATACATTTAACCTCGTTTTTTAAGCTGGAGGAAACATTTATGCTCATATGCTCATATCTTTTCTACTTATCATTGTAGTTAGAAACAGGTAATTTAATTTCCCGTTTCCTAATTTATTTAGTCCCAAAATAGCCTTCAGACGCGGCACAGCGGATAGTAATTTTGTCGTCATACAATCGCATTATTTTATATTGAAAGCAGTTGAGAATAACTTTTTTAATCGCAACCAATTACAAATAAAGTCCAATTAATACAAAACACTGTTGTTTTAATTCATAAAAATATAGATATAGTAATATGAATGTTAAACTTTTATGGAAGTTTACTAGGTACATGTGCGGAGATTTGATCTGAATACAATTCGTAACAAAATCAAATCAAATTTTTGTGTTCGCCTCATTGTGGTAAACTGATTGAAAACATGATTTTTTCACGGAGCAAAAAATTTAAGTAATTTGCAAGCATATCTGAATTACAATTGTTTAACATAAAAACTGATGGGCTATATTGCCTACATAACTGAAAGGTATAACGAGGTTATAAAAATTTTACCCGGAATTATCTATAAAAGAATTATAGTGAATCAAAATCAGAATGCAGTTTGGGTGTAAATTGCACTCAGCGATCAAACCAGACGGATAAGCAAAGGCTAGGGTAATCTGTTTTATATACTTTGGCTCAGTTTCGAGGAGCTATTACGCGTAGGTATGGTGTGGCGTGACATTATTCATTGTGCTAGTGCAGAGTGAAAGTGAGGTCGCGACGCTTTCTATCCGCCAGTCGGCGAGCGGCGGCGCGCCTTGCGAAAGCCGATACCGAGTTGCCCGTTGCTCAGGGCTGCTGATATACCGGAGCTTTTTACATGAGAGAATTAACGGTAATAAAAAAAGATTTCAGTCGGAGTTTTTCTATCGATTCACAAATAGAGACGACGCACATATTTTTTTCCAAAACGAATATGCAACACGATAATATATTTTTTTTGCACAAACTTCATCCTTGTCATTTAATAATTGCGTTCGATCTTTAGTTAATTATTATCTGTGGCGTGTTATTTACTATTATTACCCATACGACCAGAAACAAAGCTCTTTTCACTACCTCCTTGTCCAATAACTCTATTTGATTATCTGTGCTCACCGTTTATAAATCCATACAGCAACTTATTTCGATTTGTAGACGTATTGTTACTCAAAAAATGGCATTTCCCCGTTTATTTGATCACGTCCAGAAAGGAAATATTGCGTACGTTGTGTTCTTTGTCATCATGTCGTTAGTTTCCTTAGCACCTCCGATATACGTGACGTTTTATACAGAGGGTAAATGCTACGAAGACACAGTTGGACACTTCTACTCGCTGAGAAATCTGACATCCTATTCCACGGCTAATATGCTGTTGCCACCCAAAAATTAACTAGTCATCAAGGCTGTTGTAATATGCTACGAATAAACTGTACGACAGAGATACATGATTAAATATATGCAGCTAACATACGTGTTTTCATTTCGAGGGAGCACAATAGGTCTGTATCATTATGTACGTTGTGCGTAGCCATTCTTTGCTTCTCTGAAGGCAAACACACAATGTCCATTGTGCAACCGCCACGCAGAAGCGTCGTGAAATGGGATCCAAACGTATCAGGGCTGCTTCAGACGGTCCATTTATTGCTTGGAACTTAACCGAATTATTTTTACGACCAAGTAAGATAAACAACTTTTTCGTAGTTAACTGTTGACTTTTTGACAACTATCGTATAAAGTTATTTTCTACAAAATCCTAAGTTATGCTTATTCATATTGGATTTATAACGGCGAAAGAAAATATTTCAACCCGTAGCAATTATATAAGCAACTACAAAATGTTATATAATTATGAAAATGTAAGGTTGCGAACTTTCTCTTTTTTATTAGCCTATTAAGACAAAATTATACCTATAAATCTAAGAGTAGGTTTCTTAGGGCTTAAATCATAATAAACTTAGCCAATAACTATAAAGAGTTAAATCACTTAGGCGTCGATGCTAAGAGGGAGTGAAACCTAGCTGCAGTAACTCGATAGTGCGAGAGATTGGACAAACACGGCTAATGAGGCAAGCGTCTAGCTTTCCAGCCCGGTCCAAGTTTGCCAAGGAGCTTACCATCAAATCCTTTTTCCTGAGACATCGAGCTATTTAAGAAACATAAATTAAAACGAAACAAGAAACCATACTGCGTTGAAAATAAAATCTATCCCTCTTCTGTTGCATACACCATATTGAAACAACATATACATTATACCCTATAACATTCACACAATTAAGACGAATCTAATGACACCTCATATGTTGAAATCCGTCATAAGGTTAATGCTGAAGAGCTTGCGAAAGAATTATACGTACATACTCGTACTCTTAAACATACAAACGCTCGAAAAACATCACCCTCCTTAGTGATACGGGTAAAAATAACCCCAAACGAATTACTCTCTTTTATCGTAAAAAAGTAATTTTACTTAAATCATATATACGGATACAATATGAAGTTTATTTATTATTGGTCAACTTGCCTCGTAGGTGACAATGCCCTCCTTTTCACGCAAGTTTACATGCGTGACTACTAGTGCACAATCCATCAAACTCATGGAATCTCGTGTTTCCAGTTTCTGTGACACTCAGCTCATAAAGTTACCAGGCGGAAAGTACAACAATATCACTAGAGAAGATGAAATCTTTCACGCTTAGCTATACTTTTTCCACATTAAAGGTCGTAGGGACGTTAAATAACAACGTTTATATGTCAATTAGAGATTTATTAAAGTCTGACTTTATTATAAAGCCGACCTTCGTAGGAGAATTTTCAGTCCTCTGACTGCAGACGTGGCCAAACAAAGAAAAATAGCAATCATGGTAACCCTACTTCAGCGAGATATGTATATTATTAAACGCAATAAAATAAGTATTATTTCTTACGACTTATTATTTTACATAAAACTTTTTATGGAAAAAGAGGCAAAAATGCTAGCGGGTCACCTGATTGTAAATGATCACCGCAACCCATAGACACTTGCAACACAACAAAAACTTATCAACTGTTTTGTGATACAAGTTATAACAGCTATTTTACTGTGTTTGGGCCACGCAATAGCTTCTGATGTTGCATTAATAGACAAGCTCGTCCGGGGAAGTACCATAGCCTGTCAGAAGACCGTGAAGTGGAAGGATAATGTATTTGCGTTTCGCCTGGTGAGTGGCACCGGCACCCAATTTTTAAAGGTTTTTCAACGCATCGTCAAGCCCTCAATCGTAGAAGTCATTAGGCGGCGGTAATCACTTAATATCAGAACCACCTGCTCGCTTGACGACCTTGATCACATAAATAAAAATTAAACACTCAACTCAGAGAAAAGATCAAACCATGGAAGATAACACGCCAAATGCGAAAAAGTTAAGAAACTGATGCTAGCGAGCGTCCCGGATTTAATCGAGGCCTTTTTTTCGATTTGGGGACTAATCGACATGAAGATAATTATAATTATCACACGATTTATGTATATGCGTGTTTACGTCTATTAGTGACAACAACAAATATAATGGGCCATTGTGTTTATAATTAACTTGTTTTCTTCAGTTCATCGTTTTGTTTACGCTTCAAGTTTACAAAGGATTAGTTAATTTTTAAATAACATATAATGGAAAATCTGTAATTATTTTTGCTTACACGTGTCTTTACTGTAGGCACGATCAATTCTTTGTCTCTCGCATAAGACATCGACCCACAAGAGTGTGCCCGATGTGACCGTTTTTGTCTGTTGTACTTTTATCTTATTAGATTCTAATAGTGTCCGGCTAAACCTGAATCTGCACCAGAATCGGTGTGCATTGCTGGCTAGTTTTAGCTAATTTTTAGTTAAGTCGATTCACTAAAGGCAATGGATGCCGCATAAATGTGAGGTAGCGAACGGGGTCGGTAGATGCTGACGTCATCCGTTCAAATTTGGCAATGCCAGGCGTTCGACCTCCAAGTTGTAGTGGCGTCGTGACTGTTCGCCTCAAATATACTGCGCAACAGAAATCAGAGACAAAAACAAACGGTCTACTTTATTCAGGTACAAAAACACAGGACAGCGGTGGCTTAAAAATAAATAATATATTGGGTAACAATAAATGCTGTATGTAATAAAATATTTCTCGTATAATTTTGCAAAAGAAAACTAACATACTGTTACACATATTGAAAGAATCAAAAGCTTTAGATGTTTATTACATTTACATAAGATATGTGGTATCTGATCTGTCGGATCTAGAAAAACATTAACATTTCTACAAAAAGCTAAGCTTTGTTATATAAACTTGTTACGTATCTCCGTAGTTTCTACATTACTAAAATTTAATAATATAAACATTTCTCTCTTTGAACCATAAATTTTAATCTCAATTGGCAAATGACAATTCATGATTTCATGCAAAGATTCAATTAGCAGTGGATTGGCATTATATTCCTTTAAATCGCAACAATCATAATCGCATTAAAGAAACATCCATCCATACATAAAAACTTTCCCCTTTATAATATTAGTAAGGAAGTAAGGATAGTTATGCAGTCTTCGACATTTTCACTTATTGGTATGATAATCAACTTAACAACTCCATTATCCATAAGAAAAAAATATTAATTGCGCCTTAAAATGATTTAAAATAGGTGACTTAATATAACCTACATTTGAGTAGTTAGATTCTTCTTTTGAATATTATTCATATTTATTTTAAATATTAAACATAATATTACCTATTTAAGTTTTTAATAAATAGTAAGTCTGTTCTGATATATAAAACAAAATAAATTACTTTTATCTTAAGAACAAATTAACTTCTATACTTATTAGTCATTTTCTGCGACTTTCAGTAAACAAAAACAAAAATATAAAAGCCGAAAATAATGTCAGAGTCACTTTTTTCAAGGGACTTTCACTTCCTTAAATTTTTGTGTGACTATTTGTGGACAGTTACATAAGGTCAGAGAATTTTTGCGGCTTATCATAAATACCTATTATCCGAATTTTATTTGATGTTAGTTGATGAACATGAATCAACGTTGACGAAAAAACCTTCAACGACTGATAGTCTTCAACGCTAGTCTTCGTCGCTTGTTTGCATGGATGGAAATTAATACGCTGATCATGACCGATCATAGCGCAAGAACTCCCGAATGCAGTTTCGGTTTCGGTCGTAGTCTTATATCTTGTATTAACTGATGTTTTTGCTTTCAGTCCCGAGACTATTAAAGCTTCATCTGACGCAGAACCGATGGGCTAGCCAGAACCCACGGGTTTGGGCCCTCCGCTGTGGGTAGGGCCACGCATGTGCTCATGCGTGCGTTTAACTATGGTGTGTCATCTAAGGGCCATCGAGGTCGTGGTTCGGACCGAAACCCCGATGGCCGTCGACTGTGCAATTAGCTAATCGGTGGCTGGGGGCGGTAAGAACCGCCCTGGAACGCGGGTGTACCTTGTGTACGCGTTGTGTTGGTCTCGCCGTGCTAGGAGGCGAGGGCGAACTAGTGTGTTTGTTGTTGCACTAACTGTGGGTGTAGTGTTGTCCGGCGGGACCCCCGGCAGTGGGTCCGGCGTGTCTAAGTCCCCTTCCTCGACCGGGTCGATTAGAAAGTTTCGCGGGCGACGCTTGTTGACGTTCGCGTTTTTGTCGGGTTGGTAATTTGCTGCGCTTACCACCAGAGGGTTGGGATGATGTTCGGCTCTATCGAAGAACCGTTTGGTCAGGTCTTTAAAATATTCGCGAATCGTCGGGAGTCTGCAATCGCTGTGCAGGTCGAGGTTGCGTTGATACCACTGCGCACCGGTTGCGCGGCGGATGAACTTATTTTGTACTATTTGCAACTTGTACAAGCGAGTAGGGTGCGTGTGGGCGAAGGTCATGCATGCGTAAGACATAATAGGTCGTACGCAGGTCTTATATAATAATAATTTGTGCCTTAAGGGCATTTTACTTTTAGCGTTAGTTAAGTTGTGTAGCCGGCCGGAGACGAACGCGGCTCTATTGCGAACGTTATTAATGTGCGTAGTAAATGACATACGCGAGTCGAAAGTGACTCCTAAGTATTTGACCTTTTTCTCCCAGGGGAGCGGTTGGCCATAAAGGGATATTTGCCCCAACTTTCTGCATTGACGAGGCCATTATAAAGATGTGACGGGTAAGTACTTCGTGTGAAGTGAATCGCCACACTCTTTTCGGGATTTATTTCTATTCTCCATTTGCGGAACCAATCGCCGAGGCGGTCGGCAGCGCTTTGGAGTCGAGTGGTTAGTTGTCTAAGGTTGCGGTCTGAATAAAAGAGCGCCGTGTCATCCGCGAAAAGCGCGAGATTGACGTGGGGGTCTTTAGGTATATCGCTCGTGTAGAGCGTAAAGAGCAAAGG